TATATATCACCTCTCGCACCAGGGTAACGACAGCGCCGTCTAGCGGCACGTCGAGAGTGGCACGAAATACCGTGAGATATTCCATCGTGAAGACAGGCCCTGACGCGCCACATTATGAAAACCGAAGTACAGCAGTGCATAAAGTTTCCTTGAAATCGTAGCGGATTGTCTTGTTAGTGCTGTGCTCTGGCATCGGCGCTGAGAAGTACTGCCAACACCCCCTCCATAATTTAAATGTAAAAATAGCTATTACTGAATACTTTATACACTATTTAATAAAAATATAAGTATATTTGGCATATTATAAATGCGATTTTCACGTCATTGATGTCACCCCTAAAATGGTAACCCCTGGGGCGGACGCCCCCACCTTTACACGTCACTGATTACGCGCCGAAATTTAAAAGGATGCGAATGCAGAACGTGTTAACACCTCTGAATGCTCAGTGTTGCATTTTTGCAACAATTCTTTTCTGCGAAATTATTTTTTTCATAAAAAAATATATTCTAGAGTATCAACATGCTGTTTAACAGACCTGTAGGATGTGCAATGTAGAACCATCATTCGTAAAATTACTGAAGTAAACAAAAGAGTTCTGAGAGTGAATATGCTTTTGGTCCTGAATTATGTTTCAAATTAATTATGTTTTAAATAGTACACATCTATGCTCTCATGTTAAATAATTTTGTTTCACTTTGTTTCAATTACTGCTTCAGTAACTTATCAGAAATTGTCGGTACAGTAGAACTAGTTTAATAAAATTCCGCTTAATAAAATAACAATGAGCATTCCCAAAAATGCAACCATACAAAGAATGCATTTTAAATATTCCACCTAATAATATTCTGAATCAAGTTTTGCCTAGTTAATCAAATGTGGTAAGGAATTTATGGTTTGGTTGCGAATATTTTGTTTCACTTTTGAATGCTGTGAAGCCTTTCACTACTAGTTCTAAATAGGAACACAAGAATTCAAATAAAGGACTTCCTTCTCTGCCAACTGCTCATTGATCAGCATCACTTCCCTCTTCCTTGTTGCAGAACTAACAAATTATTTTATTTTTGTTTGTACTTCTAAGTGTTGTATGCTTTTGTGAGTTTCTTCACAGAGTACCTGAACGTCTTGCCTAAATTTTTCATCTGGAACACTACTGTTTGCATTAGCATTTTCAGCCTGTTATTTTCTGTTGAAATACGAACAAAATAATGTAGACAAACTACACTGTGCAGATAGCTTAATTTTTGAGTTGTGTACTTAAAGTAAAAACACATTTAGAAAAATGAAATCAAAAATTTTTTTACAGCTCTTTTAATAAAATTTCTAGTCTAATAAAATAACTTCAAGTTCCTACAATATTTTATTGAGAGGGTTCTATTGAACAGCAATGAAAACCTGTGCTGTGCTGTGCTCTGCTTTGGATCCAATGTGCTCATTGTACTATGATGAAAACATTACTACAAACTGTGTGAAAAATATTTAAACTTATTTCACCAAACTTACCCAGACATAAGTACACAAGTATGTGTCCTAAATAATAGTGAAACAATCCATGAAAATGCAAAATAAGGATGATTAGAGAGGAAGATTTTTGAGATCCTCAAAAAAGTAAATGAGATTGAAATAAAACATCTTGAGCCATGAAAACTAAATTTTCATATATACTGAGCACACATGAAGACAAAAATACAATTGTTTGGAATAAAGAGATCAAGTATCTGAAGAAAGGTGTATTAAGAAATTTAGTCTTTCAGAATAATAAAGTATAAACAACATTCATCTTATAATTTAAAAAATTGAGAAAACTTAAACCTATCCACAAGGACAAAATTGTCAATTAATTTTGACAAGCAATAAAACCCGATATACACATTGTCATTTTAATATTCTTTATTCAAGAAATAAAAATGCATGCAGTCTCTTCGATAACTTTTGGCATTTAACACTTATTAAGATATAATTTCATAACTTCAAAAAACACAGAACTTTTATGCCTTTCTCTATCTGAATTTGCACAGGAACAAAAATAGTGTAAAACAGTGATAACTTTTAAAGTTTTTGTCATGTCAATAATTCCTCTGCACAGTTTCAAATTCATGAAGCCATTATCAAATGTATCAACTAGTTGCCTGCTTGTGTAAGTAACAGAGTGCCTGAACGTATGTCTATAATTTTAAAACAAGTAAAGATGAAATATTTTCATTTAACTTTTGTTGTAAATGGAAAATTAGCAGGAAGGAAAGGGATATTAAAGAGGTTGAGAGTTATGGATTTCAGGTTGATATACTATTGTTATTCTGCAATTCGAATTTTCTATGCAGTTTATTTTAAATCATATACACACATGCACACATTCAAATTCTATGATCATACATACAAAAATACTTTCATGAAAAGGGAATTATATAATTAAGTTACACTTAAATGAAACAAACCATTAAATAAGATGTGAATACTGGAGGTAAAATAATCATAAATAGTATTTCAATGTTACCACAGCCAACCTCATAATGAAGAGATTGGAAGTAATTTCAATGAAGGAAAATGTATTAAGAGGAGCACTAGATGGTTTAACATTTATTTACAATTTGCTAATAACAATAACAGGAATAAAAAATTAGAATATCAAATTCTACTTAAAAAGTAATTATTTAAGGTTGCACATTTTATTCTATCATTGAACTTACAAGATACAAGTCTAATATTCATGTACAATTTCAAGAATGAAAATTTAAATAATTTCAAATTCCAGTTACTGCAAAGGTATAAATCAATACTAATTTCCTTCGATGTCCAGCTACACTATACAAGTTTGCAACAATATTGATGTTTATAAAATAATATCATGCTTTGAATACATCATCAGTCAGTCCATTCACTTTGACAGAAAAATATACATTTCTGCTAATCTTCCTTCTAACCATTCAATAAAACTTGATTACATATTTAACAAATATTTTCATTCAAAGTCAAGCAGTAAGATTTTGAAGTGAATGGACCAAGTAAAGATAAACCTATGCCCAACATTTCCACTTACTAATACCAACTCAAGTGCAAAGTTTGCTTTTTGTTAATTACCTTATTAGAAGAATGTGCCATCAATAGGCAGGTCTAGATTCCCCACAAATGCCACCAGTTTTGCATATGACCAAGAAATGTGACTAGTCAACCTACTACATCAACCAACTATAGATTAAACCACATTTTTAACCATAATATATCCAAATAAATTTTGCACACTTAACTGAAGATCTTGACAAATCACCAATTTTAGTTTTAATGATTTAAGAATTGGAAGAGGAAAATATTAATACTATTAACACTAAAAAGATAACTGTATTAAATAATTCATTGAAATAAGTGATTTGTTATGTTAACTGTTTCAAAGCATGATATCATTCTCTAGTTAACTATAAATGTTGCCAAGTCTCTACTATAACTCTTGCAATATTGTGTAGCTACAAGTTCTGCTTGGTCATGCCCTTTAATCTCTCCTGATACTCCCGAAGTACCATCAACCAGAGCACAAAGCACCTATCTTTTAGAAAGATTATAACACATAAGCATACACCTTAATATTTGCCCCTGAATATAAAAGGATTCACTTTACTTTGACTGTTTAAACTCTGTATCATTCAAGGATTATATAAACTTTTCATCAATCTAAAAGAATGGTATATTTGTCAGATGTTGAAGCATGCAGACCATTAAGAATATACATTATACCTTCTATATTATGGGGCTTGTATTGATTCAGCATTGCAACACTCAGGAAACAAATGAATTGTAACATTAACTTACTGTACATACTTAAGAAATTTCACTATGCTAAGTTGCATTCCCTACATTTAGACTTTAACAACCGACAACAATCTGTGTCAGGCTGATAATTGCACAAATTACCCGATTACATTCAAGTGTTTAAACATAGTCAGTGAAATAAAACATTATGAACATGAACTGTTCAATAAATCGGCAACAATCTGAATAAAAGTTTGTTTCAAAATCAGAAAGCAAACATTTCTACAGCATTATTACTGATGTAAGATGAAATTGTGCCACAATATTTACTTGTTAAGTCATATTTAAACGCTTCAATTAAATTAATTTTTAAAAACAAGTCCACCAAGTACCCATTCTAGGTCCCTTTATACCAAAGTTCATGGTGAAAAATACACTTTAGTTCATGAAACAAAGAGGAACTAATCATTGCATTTTGTTTTAAATACCATAACATTCCAAAAAACATTCAGATTTGTACAGATGGAAAAATCTATTCTTTCATATTTTTCTATTATAACATACCTATATAAGACATGATTGTTTCCAGTATTTGGTTTCATATCCAGTTTGGTCCATTAGAAGATAGATATATTGATATACATATATATAATCTTGTAGGAGAATGTACTTGACACCATAATAACTTATTCAACTTTACACATTTATGATCAGTTTCAACTGGTTTGTATTATGATGGATAATTTAGTTATTTAAGTACTTTACTTTGGAGTCTCAGAGCATCATTCTTGACCACCATACAATTATCTCTGCAGCTGCTTACTTCTGCTTACGTCTGTTTGACAAGAAATGCACAATGATTTTTAAGTCAATATCCTTAAGTTAAAGCAACATTGTTTCAGTATTTTAATATATTATTAATTACCTAGGAAACTTGAAACACTAATATGTGTAAAAAAACTTCAATTGGCATGTGCATTTCTCTTCAAACCAAACACTGAATATATTCACCAATTTTGTGTACTTGTATCATAAACATGATTGGACTTTCACTACATGATGGCTATTTGTATTATTAAAAATTACTATTGTTTCACAATACAATAATTTGCAGCTTTCTAGATAGGATGTCATCATGCTCACTATTGACAAGTTTTCTCCTCGAGTAGGTAATTTTAGAACTTTAAATTATTACAGTGAACATGTGCAAGTAGGCAAAACAGTATGCATGACCAGACCTTCACATGCTGGAAAATTCCTGTAAATTCTTGGTGGTCTTTTAAAGATTAGAGTGTGAGTACCTCTCTAAGTATAACTGAATCTTTGTTTTCTAATGCATGAGCATCAATTAAAACCATGTTTCAGTAAAATGATATTATTGATGCTCCTAACAGTATCACTCTTCATTTGATTTGAAAATGTGAATTGTAACAATAATATTTCCAACATATTCAGTGTAGTCTCAATTTAAGAATTAGTCACAAATCAATGCCTTGTCAGTCTTTGGTCCATCAAATTATAATAAAATACTGCATATTGCAAAAATTATAAAGTAAATGTTCATGGACAATTTCGTGTTTCAATCACATACCATAATTGTTTTTCATGTTTCCTTTTATACATTCTTTCAAGTATCCCTAACCCATCCCTTTATTTACATGTACATCCCAAATAACCACTAAATCAGTTTTAGGACAACAGTATTATCAAAATAGAGGGAACTTCCTGTATTTTTATTTAAAGCCACAGTAACATGGTATACTATTAGTTTTCCTCTGTTCTGACCCATGAAGAACTCACCAATGGAAATACCCAAAAGAATAGTTGGACTTCCCTTACCTACATAAGATTGTAAGTTCTAAATCTGCTAACTGCCCACATTTCACAGAGAGAACATTTTTAATATTGTACTATGTATTACTTTTGTTTATATCACAGGTACCTACAATTAAAATAAGTTGCAAAAACAGAGATAAACTATTTATTATTAATTATACATATACGTAAACTTGCATGTTTACAACAATGTCATTAATAGACTGATTTTAATGACAGAAGTTGTAAATAGAGCAAAATTTCTTTCACAACCAGTTAAAAATTTCTTAAAACATATTTGCAAGGTCATAAATTCATCCCTTAGATCCCTCTACATCTGAATACAAATTTCTGTATAAATATAAGAGGAATAAAAAGAATCTACGAAGGATAATTACCATTAGATATATAACTTAGAAGATATTTTGATATAACACAAATTCAAGACAGATATACATACATATATATATGTAGGCACTGATTATATTGAAGTGAGGTTTAAATTATCAAAACTATTAATCATTTCTCAGGAACGCACCTGCAAGAGCATATTGGCAAAGTTGGAATTAGTGAACTTGAAATGTCGCTTATCGTAAAACTTCAAGAGTGCTGGGCTGTATGGATGATTATCTTTCAAATGCATGTAATGAACCTCTGGTTCATTTGTTGTGTGCCCGCATTCTTCACAAACGTACATCTGAAAGAATGCATGACAAATTTAGAATGGCTCATCAATATCAGAATCCAAAATTAAATCCATTTGACTATGTCAGTTGTTAAAAGAAGATTTTCACTTTCCATGAATCAAAAAAATTCATAATTATTACCTTGGTTCTGCGTTCCTTGTAGGCATATTGATGCTGAACACCATGTACTTTCAAGCAATGAGATTCAAGTGAACAACGCTGGGTAAATGATTTTTCACATAAATTACATTTATAGGGACGCACACCTGAAATGAAAAAATAAGAATTTCATGAGATATCTTAGTCAAGTACCCTCAAAATACAAAGTTCTCTTCAATGATAATAATGAAAGAGCATAAACATTTATATTCATTCACATTTAATAAATACTTGATTGAATATTGTATTTTGAAATCTAAGCATACCTGTGTGTGTTCGAGTGTGTCTTTTCAGATCAAAAGTATCGTTGAAACCCTTGCCACAGAATGTGCACAAATAACGTTTCACATCACTGTGACACTTCATGTGTCTGTTCAATAGTCTTTGCAAACTGAAGGTCTTCGAACAGATTCTGCAGACAAATCGTGACGGGTCATCAGATGCGGTAGGAGCAGGCAGTTTCTCAGCTTCATTGGTGCGATTACGAGCATGCCCAGGCCCAAGGTCATGGTTTGCAAGAGGATTCTTGATTCCATGACCACCATTCACAAATTCTAAAGCAACATCTCCGGGCAAGCCCAACTGCAAAAACAAAAACCATTGTTTTTATTTTAAGCAATACAACATCAATAAATATAAAAGGAAAGAAGAGCAGAGATAGCAAGAAACTTTGATACTGATGTATTGTTAAAAATTAAAATACTCTTCTTATTTTTTGATTTTTGAAGACCAACAGTAATGATAATAAATAATATTCTGTCCATTTCATGGTTTATAGAATATTGTTATAAAGTAACGCGTTAGTAATGAAGTTGATACATACTCGTTGTTGCAGAATGTTCACTCGCACTTGAAGTGATGGAATGTTGCTAATGTCTGAAGAATCCCTCCGGCTGCCTACAGAGGCTGCAGCTGGTGCAGAGGAAGCTGATGGAGAGAGGGAGCTTGGGGCAGAAGCACCACCTGAGCTGGCTCCAGACCCTGGTCCATTGCCATCTAAACTACAGCTGGCACCTCCAGGAGATGGCAAAGACATGGATGTTGGAGAATCTAAATCCAGTCCACTGCCTGTGAAAGACAACCCTGGAGAAAGTAATGGTTGCTGATTTTGCTGTTGTTGCATTTGCACCTGAACTTGCAACTGTTGCATATGAGGTTGATCTTGTTCTTGTGGGGATGGAATTTGTTGTTGTGAGTTAGAAGAGGAAATATGTAGAGCCAATTCAGGCCTTTCTTTTGGCAAGGTGTGATAACTACTGGATCCATCTTGATTGTTATTCAAAAATACTGATTTTGTAAAGTGTGTTGGTGCCACAAAATTCCTAGATGTGTCAAAGTTGCGGGATAAACCTAGAACATTTTGACAATGTTCAGGGAACGGATCAACTGCTGGCTCTATTGGTGGAGGTATATTCTGATCTTGTCGTTGTTGAAGCGTTGGACTGGCACTGATGTGTGACTCATCCTGTTGTCCTGCCTGAGAAAGTAAGTTATGATCTGTATCACTGTTGTTATTATTGTCCATATCTCCTTCTGGAGACATTCTTTGGAGAAAAAAGTCATCAGTCAAACTTTCCATTAAAGCATTATGGTCAGCAGGACTGGAGAAGGTCAATGTTGCTGTAAACTGAAGTGGATCCACTACAGCTCCTGATACAATATCAACAACCATATTGTCCCCAACATCATACTGACTTCCTCCTGAAATATAACCAGACCCAACACTTCCTAAAAGGGAGGAACTCAAATTGCCACTTCCACCCACAAGATGGACAGGTGGCAATGTATCTCTAGAATCTGGGCTCATTTTGGGGACAAATTCACTCAAGTCATCCTCTTCTTTCATTGTAACAAGTCCATAAGATTCACAAACATTCTGAAGTAACGAATACTGTTTCTGCTGTGAAGTTCCTCCACCACCGTAACCAAGCCCTTGACCTTGGTCCTGTCCAGTGTCACACTCCATAGGAAGAGGAGCTGACATCACAGAATAATTATTGTTCCCATTTGATATGTAATGTTGATTGCTATTGAATGCACCTAAACCACCACCCTTTAAAGTTTCGTAGAATGGTGGCAGAGATCCAGTAGGAGGGCTACTTGGTCCATAAATATTCGAGCCTCTACCTCCTCCTCCAGGATTCATTGACCCACCACCCCCTGGGCTACCTCCTCCTCCCCCTCCTAACATGCCTCCACCACCGCCACCACTACCGCCACCACCTAGTGTACCACCGCCTCCACTATAAGGCATTGATGATGAACTGTGATTGCCACTCCCTCCTTGATGCCCTCCCCCTCCCGAGTTCCCTCCACTACTTCTGTTGCTGTGACCATGTCCTGCAGCAGCTGATCTTGGTGTAACATTGTTACTGCTGTTCAAATGTCGACCCAAAATTAGGGGTGGAAGTAAGCCCCATTTCATGTTACTTGCAATTCGCAGAGTCAAGTTTCTCCTGATTTCTCTCTCTTTTTCATCTTTGTCACACTGTTGTTTATCTCCATCTTTCTTTGGTATATGATAATCAATGGGTGCTTCCTGCTCAGGTTCTTGTATAACCATGGAAACATCTTCTTCCTTACTGTCTTCATCTTTTTCAGGTTTCACTGAAGTGGACTGCACAGATGGTGTTCTTTGAATTACAGAAACTTGTTGACAGCGTGGTTTGGTTGGTGTCGGAGAAGAAGAGGGCAGAGGTGGAGCAGGTGGTGGCGGGGGAGTAAGAGAACCATTGACCGAAGGCAGATACTCTTTCCTCTCTGCTCGTGTCAAAATGTGTCCTCGGCTTCCATATGGTGCATCACCTCCACAGATTGAAGAAGTGAAACGCCTAGGTGTTGTACTGTTGGGAACAATCTCAGCAACTGGATTTACTTTGGTATTTGGACTTGCTGGTGAAGCAGATCTGTTGCTATCAGGAGTGAGTGGCCGAGGAAAGAAACGTTCTTCATCTTGTTTGCATTGGGCACGATCTGAAACAGAAGAGAGAAATCTTGTGTCATAAATTGAGTCTTCTGAAGTGCGAAACATTTTCTATCTACTTAGAAAATCTTTATTTAAAACAGAAGGAGATAATGCAAGAAAGAAAAAATATTAACCTATGGGATATTATGAGCAAGCTTGTTTAATGATTATTGAAATATTTGTTACAATAATTTACATGTAGTTCAAAAAAAAGAGATATTTTTAAGGTACTTCTAAAATCAATACATAAAAAGTATATAACATGGGAAAAAATTAAATGGGCTTGGAAAACAAAAATTAGAATCCACTATAATTACAACAAGAAAATAAATATTTAAACATATTTGTCCTAGAAAATAATTTATTTAATCAACACATACAGACAAAATGTATATTATTATTGAAATAAATTCATGAAGGAAGATTATATTAAACAAACTATTAAATTCAATAATTAAAATTTCAGTTAAATTGAGACAATGCTTAATTCAATAAATATAATTTTCAATATTGCATAAAATTGCTAAAAGGATATGTAGAATTAATATTACATTAAATGATTTACTTGAACTTCATTTAAAAAATTGAAACATAATCACTAATATTAGTTAAGTGTGTGTAAATTATTATATTTTTATAATTCCATTATCAATGAGAAATTTCACTTATTCACTGTGAATTATAACTTCGGAATGATTCCACATAATGATAAAACTGAATAAAATTGGTGAAGTTCTGGAAGAGATTTTTAACAGTAATGTAGAATAGCTTGAAAGCAAAAGTTTAAAATTAAAGCACAAGTTATACTTATTGCTTTTGCTCTCGTTATGGACCTTCATCATAACATAATAATGTAAAAAATTAATATATAAAAAGGAGACGAGGGCCGTTCTTAGAGCTCGATGAAAAGGAGCAAGGGTAAAGAAAAGTAGTGAATTGTCATTTACTGTTTCTCTTAAGAACAAGAAATGAAGAAACGACAGAAGGTGGGTAAACAAACCGGTTAGTTAACGTTCTCTCTAGTTGACAGAGGAAGGAAGAGAAACAGAGACGAACAGAAAGGTCACCTTGAAATTTACAAAATGGCGGCGGCGAAGAAACCAATTCAGAGAGGTCTTGAACTTGGAAAGAAACGGAGAGCCAAGAAATGGTAACGTTCAATCATGTCATTTCATAGAGTTAACGATTCAATTTAATGGAGTAGGGTAACATTTTACGAGAGATACTGGAAGGCGACTAGTTCAAAATTGAAGTTGAAGGACAAGTCATACGTTTCTGAAAAAAGGCCGCTAAAAGGCAAATAAAATTTTCGGGCACTTAGAAATGACATACCAAAAAAATAATTGTATATACCTAACGAGTTCAATGGAATAATATTTGATTACCAGATAGTGTAAATACAAATAAAAAGGCTTTCACTTGCCTGTAAGTTCACGCACTACGAAAAATTAACCGTACCACAGATTCAAGCAGAGATTTCTATAAAATGATTGCTAAATTTTGCTATCTCAATTTATCAATCAATACAATCAAAAGAGTTTTCACAATAATTTCATCTTATTACTTTAAGGCAACGATTCTCTTAAAGATAAATATTTTTTACAAACTATAAAAAGGCGACTACGGGTAGGAGAATAATTACAATGCGCAACTTCGTAGAACCCATTTGAAGCAAAACAAAGATGGGAATGTAGAATAATTACAACGGAGTAAAAATAGTGAGCAAATGTCAATTCGTAGAGCAATTGCATTTTCCCCACAATCTACATTTCTAGGACGTGATCCATGAGCTCATCGGTAAGTTTATGTAGGTAGCTAATGGAACTTTGCGGTCTTCTTTTACTGTAGTCTTTTTTGTTGTCATCCATTCTCGTGATGACCACCGCAGCTCTCAAGCAACCAACCAGCAAGCAGCATCAACAATATTCAAGGTCTACCACTAGCTTACCAATGGCCGCTAACTTAGAACCTATTCTAGATGCATACCATAACATTCGGAGAACAAGTGTTTCTTTCTTACATCCGTAATGCTAATTTTTGAATTTTCAAAAATGCATAAGGAAATGTTGAATTAGTTTATTTTGTTGAAAGCAAGAAGTCAAGTTAAGATCGCAAATAACTTTTTTCGAAATAATTTAGCAGCTTACAACAAAAATCTCAACGTCTTAAAAAGTATGTATGCATAATAGTTTATTATATAGCGCTATGATATCAAAAAATCACAAATAATGAAGAGTGGATAAATTGAGGAAATTCGGAGCATCGCATATTGAAAAATCACAAAGTATGTGACTCCTGTAACCTTTCCATTTTCGTACATTTTCCATTCTTAAAAAAATAGTCTCATAATAAAGAGTGAATAATGCAGGTAGTTCGGAGAAGACTTGGTCACAAATAAGATTAATGGAATATTATTTCCATTTAATTTTTGTAAGTTTCCTATTTTTGGGCTGTCAAAGGACTACTTGCATTTCCTCCTTCCTATTGTCCAAGAAACACCCTGCAACTACACTTATACGGTACGGGATAAAAAAAGTAGTCATAATAACGAGCGGTCTATGCAGGTAGATTGGAGACGACTTTGTCACAGATAATCAATGCATCGGAACTACTCTTATATAGGATGATCAACACGTATACGGAAATTTTTAGGACTCTAGTCTGCTTAGCTCATTGGTCGTTAAGGTGGCTTCGATTGGTGAAAGTGAGATCCACTGTTTTGAAGAAATGAAAAATATATGTTCTAAAATGTCATATGGACTGGTTTGTGGTTAACTACATACATTCATTGTAGTAATTAAACACAATTATACGAAAATAATTCCAGTAATGTTTGATCATAAATGAAACATACGCCCATATCAGAAATACTAGAAATGCCATTTTGTCGAAATAAGAATTAAACAATGTTGTATAGGTCTAAGGGAAAAACAAAAATATATTTTGATTATCTAATATCGAAATTCAGGGTTCCAGCAAATTCTTGAACAGAACTTTGATAAAGATTTCTCCCGTAGCGGAATTTCTCCTAAATGTAGTACTAAAGGAATGGCGAAAGAAGTGTACACATTTTTGTTACATCAAACTTTTAATGTTTCGTAGTTACCACTTACCGATATGTGCGAAAAATATATTTTATTTTCAAAAGGATGAATTATTTTCCGGGTGCGGTATGTACTAGACTTAAGACGGAACAAAGAATTAAAATACCTTTATCTTAGTTAAGTGAAGTTTCTTTGTCATTTATTGTAAAATTGTTCATTTACGTACTTATCGTGATGTTCAAATTCTCATACCTTAAAGTTTCGTCACGGCAGAGTTCTGTGCTATTGCTCCGTGTACACAACTCCGTCGCGAGCCAATATACCGCAGAAGTTCTGTACCATTTACCATATACAGAACTCCAACATTCACAATTTCTCCACTTTTCCAGTTGCCAATTTCGTTTTTCAAGAAGAAGTTAATGGATACGTTATTCCCTTTTAATAGTATGAAATCACACTTCAATTCTCATATGCAAGCAATTCATTGGAAACGAGAAATGGCAAGAAGAAAATAATGTTTCCTTAACTTTATATTCCCCAACCTGCCTGAACTTTAACCGTCTCAACGAAAAAGTAAATGTTTCAGGTAGAATTATAACATATCACATTGTATTCATATGATGATGCGAAACATTGGAAAGTCCGTTGTTTTCCACGAATTTAAAATATGACCTTTAAACTAATCTAATTACAACCTCAAGAATAAACGGGAGATGGGGGTTAGTGCAATGCACAAGACATAATTTATTCATTTATGTATGCGGATCTAATTGAGTAGTTGGTTCAAGGGATAAAGAAATTACAAATGCTCTCTTCGGAGGCACACGCTATAATACAGGTGCAATAAATTTATTTTCGGAATTTCTATTTTCAATGAATATACTCATTTTACCGTTGTCGAAACTATTTTAATTGGTACAAAAATGTAGCAAATATCTACGTCGCCGTGTTTATCTCAAATGGTAGTCTGGAATAGCCAATTTTTTTTTTATTTGTAATGGACTATCAATGCCTTTTTGAAATACACATCGTGATCAAAGAATAAAATTACAGCCCAATAGACTAGTGAATTCACATTTTCCACGAGACTTAATTTTATAGAGTACATCAACGACTTTTTAACATTCAATTATCGAACTGCGAAATTCTATCAAAGAAACCACGAATTCCAATCCATTGACACCATGGCCCTTTATCGGTAAAAGGAACTACGAACTTGGCAAGTGCTTCACCGGCAGTAGACGAAGATTTTTCCCAACGTTGTATTTGATTTTATTCGATACTACAATCATCGCAAAATTTACTTCACACACTGTATGATACTGCGAAGTTCCACTTAAGAATGTCTTGTCACTAAAGTAAGTCGCTTTCACTTGAAGGGGCCTTACTGTTCAACAGATTTAGACAAATACTGATAAATTGTAGTGGTAAACAACGCTTAGTAAGGCAAACCAGTTCAAATTCAATATGGGATACGCGCCATTGTAAGCACACCGATAATGCAGACTCCAGACAACTGTCCTCACAAATGCTTGAAATTACATTAGTGTTCTGGTTAAATGTGATCAACAAAGATTTGATTTTTAAAGGGAAAATTGTTTATTGCTGGATGTTCTCTCGAAAATTGTACTTTCGAAAACTGTGCAGTCCATAAAAGTGAAGACAAGTCGTCTTGGTAAATAATTACGATATACTGCATCTCAAATTCAGCTTTATAATTATCTACCGACGATTTCTTGAATTAACAATAAAATGATTTTACGTGGAGTCCTACGACGTACACACTAAGTCTTTTTAGCCTCAAACTTTTAACATCGTTGTTCCGTTTTAACCTACCATTGATTAAGGGTCATAAGAACACAGCGTAGACTGTTTACTTGACAGAAAACATTTCTCAATTGCCTTTATCAACTATTATTTGTAAAATATTGTGGCGCAGTTCATTTCGAAACAAGCTTTTCTATTTTTGTATGTCAATTAGAAAGTTAAATTAAAAATAATTCATTTTCAATTGAACATAAACAATGTGTACATCACGCAAAATTAGGATTCACCGCTCTTAAACTACGAAAATATATTTAACCGCGCGTGATTATATTTTTCTTTTGTATTTCCATTAAGCTGGAACAAGACTAGTACCAAAATAACATCATACTGTCTTGTGGCCAGTCAAATACCCGTTCGGTTCTAATGAATCTAAAGTCCGTCCTGTCCATTGTAACTTTTTGTAAAAATCCCTGAGATTTTCGTATTCCCGCCTCGAAATACGGTTGTTTGCCGCGATCGCTTCCAGAGTGCGTTAGTCGTCACGTAATCCTCAGCAAGGCGCCACTCACGAACACATTAGTTGGGTTTTGATTCTAAACTTTCCTTAATCCTTAAAACGTACGTTAAAATTCTATCGAAACAAATAATTAACTTGTAATAACGATTTGAAAAAATATAATTTAACTGTTATGTTATGGAGAGAAAAATTGAACAAAATACCAATATACTTCAAGCATTTCGCGCATTTATAAAATCAAAATTGTCTGATGCGGTCTAAATAGAAAGATAGGTCTCTAAAATAATATTAAAATTTGAGGATAAGGAGACACTATTATAGCTTGGATCCACGGACAACGCAAATCGTAAATCCGTAGTACGAAACCTGGAAAATTTAGCGATCAATGTGACAGTACAGTGTGATAGAAAAGTGAACGTGATTCTTAAACTATACACGAATTTGAAATATAATACGATATAAATAAAGGCAATGTCTTGTTTCATACGTCTTCCGTTAGCAGATGAGTAACGGGTCGCTCTATTAAGGATCCCTTTGGCAAGCCCCCACGCGTCGTACATTGAACCCATTGAACACATTCCAAAGTGCGTCCGACGATTTTCATCTCTCAAAATGCACCTAAAAACGCCTGGACATTACTCAAATTACGAATTCGACTTTCGAATGTCAGTTTTAAAACACAACCCGGGTGTTGTATTAAATATAGTGTAAAAAAAAAAGCAATAACAACAAAAAATCAACTTACTAGCACTATTGAATTTGGGAGTTTACTTAGGGCGCTATTAGTGGCTCTATTTCCTTTCTTTTTTTTCGTGCCGAGATTTGGTACGCGCGAAGGACGCGGAACAGGAGATCAGACAACGCAGCCATACCCAGGTTCACCTGCAGTGGGAGAGGCACCCTGGAACTCGCGGGAAAGGTAAGCAAGCGCTGGTAGCTTACCTGCAGTTCTATTGACGATCAGCGGCAGAGGCTGGCAATCGGAAAGGGGCGAGCCGGGCGGCGTGAGGGCATCCTCGGAGCGCTTCTGAGATTCCAGCAGCCGCTGCTGTTGCAGATGAAGTCGGTTCTTGATCAAAAATATCTTCGGCATCTTGCTGTGCCTTTGTAAGGTTTATTCCACAAGAATGCTCGAAAAAAAATCACTTGATGTGTGCAGGCAAATCACACGGATTCTTCTTAACCACAACAATATCGACCTAGAACATTGGTTTGTCCGAACACTGTGCACGAAGACATTGGTGTGAAGACACGGTCTTCCTAGAAAGAAACTACGTGCAACAGAGTGAACAGTTTACGAAATATACGAGTACAACTTTTGCACTGAGTTAGGTCACCGTAAATATAAGGTCATTTTCACAGTACTGTTGGTTCATAACATTCGTTTGACAATCATTCGGAAACATTGAAATAAATAAAATAACACTTATAGGCGAACGAAGAATTTACCATATTCTATAAAACCTTTTTTCACTATCACATACACCGAAAAATCCAGGATGGAACTGTTACTCCTCGTAGTTAGTTGTAGCGGTATGTTCTATCAGACCTTCAAGCACTTCTTGAAGTTTTCATATCCAAGACGCAACAGCGCTCCACGTGCACGTCCGACACCGTTGTACTTCACTCACCGACTGGCTGAACCGTTGTTCGCATCTCAGGTCCTTCCTGAGTGTCTGCCATGGTCACCAACAGGTTGCTGGCGGAGGTAGTGGGGGAGCCTCGGCTACGGCCGCGGAGGCGGGGTGGGGGAGGGGCGCCGCCGAGAGAGACAGAGAATACAACCTCAACCATTGCCAAGATCACGGTTCGCCTGAGGCGTCAACCATTAAGCAGACCACGTGACTAAATAATTTTTTAAGAATCGCGCTTGCGCAGTTATAATATTAATATTAATATTAATAATAATAATAATAATAATAATAATAATAATAATAATAATAATAATAATAATAATAATGTATACGTTTTCTAAATGTTTAAATTGCATTCTCAAAAGTTAGTTTTAAAATCGCACGAGAAAATATTCGTGTAAATTCCCTTTACATAAAAAAGTTGTGGTTTGTTTAGGTTTTTGAAAATTTAGAAAGGAGGTAGGCGTATTAAAAACAATTGGAAAGCAACAGTGGTGTATTTGATGCTCTTTTAGTAGAAAACTTCGCTTGTACATAACATTTTATGCCTTTGAATATGAATTATGGACGTAGGTCATTTGATTTACACAATGTCGGAATCGGTTCGTTTATGGACAAACGAAATTCAAATTACCATTTATTTCTATAAACCCAGCGAGAGGGTGCTACGTTGAATCACTTGGAACACGCGCCGTTCGGGGGAATTAGAGGTTCTCTTGCAGTACGAAGTATGTAGCTGCCATTACATAAGGTCATGGCCAATTGCCCAACCGCACTTCCTCTCGTGGTCCATTTTCGATTCCGTTCGCTTTAGTCACAGAATAGCACAGAGCGCAGCCACGGTTCTACGCGCAGGGCATCGAACCGAAAGTTTTTGGTTCATCAATATTTTTCATTTTATTATTAATATTGGGTTTGATTTGTATTTTTTCAACCTGTAAATGTTGAACTGGGTTAACTTTTCCTAACGTTTTCTTAATGTTTAGGTTCGATGTGCTTTTGTCACTTCATGATATACAAGTAAAAATAATTCTAACAAATACGAACTATAATTCTAGTTTCCCATTAGTTAAATAAAAGAAAACTACCTGTGAATCACAAACATTCAAACCTTAGTAACGAAATTAATCAGTTTCCATTTTTAATTTCATTTCAAGAAGGACTTTTCTTCCGTTTCAGCCGTGCTGATCTCCCGGCCAAAATATTCCACGAAGGCTTTGACGAAGGCTGCAGTTCCGGCGAGAGACCTTGCTTCGGTCATAGAATGGCATGGAGCGCAGGCGCGGTTCCGTGCTCAACGCGGAAGCGCCGGGGCCGCGGCGGGCGGCGGGCGGCGGTGGCGGGCGGCGGCGGGCGGCGGCGGGCGGCGGCGGGCGGCGGCGGGCGGCGGCGGCCGACGGCGCGGCCTGGCGAGCGAGGCAGGCGAGGCGGGCGCGGCGGTCACGGTGTGCACGAGCACTGGTTCGCGCTTCGACTCCCATTGCATGGCACTCGCTCGAGGCGACTATATCCAATTTACGTTTCTGGTGTGAATGTCTGAATTTTAGATATCGTTTGTTTTGGCCCTAAAAAAAGGACGATTTTGTGTACGTGTTTTGTAAAGTTTACGGAGAGTAAGAACAAGATCAATATTGGCCAATAACTACTCTATTGGAGTAAAGTAATACAAGCAGTATGTATGCATGTATGAATGTATACTATATTTTGACGTAATTACTCCTTTACGATGGTTTCATCTACGATTGTTGCTGAATACTTTTATTTCTTTGATTGAAATTAGTAAATTGTTCAAAGAAGGCCCTTGCAAATAATTTTTTAAAAAATCTTGGAGGAAAACCAATTTAAACCACTGTACAAGAATTTTACTGGCAAAGATTGTTGCTATTTAGTTTCAATAATTCCTTCCTATCAAATAATTCCTATTCAAATATTCCTTCAATAATACTTGTAGTACTTTACTCGATTGCTTTAAATGAAGTGCTTGAAACAATGAAAAAATGCATCAGTTTTATTAAAATTTGTACTGTTCATCATAGTATCATTCGTGATAAACTTACACAAATGAAGAGTTTTCAGTTGTTAAAGTTCCATCATAGTACTATTTCAAAAATATTGACATTTAAATGAATACGTACTTCTCTTCATCTTTTTCTCTACTCGCACGTCTATATGTGACCTGCGCAAGGTGTAATCTCACGAGCTTAAAAAGATTTCTGTGTCTATTCTTCGTTGAATATTTCAAGGTTTACGCTTGATGGGACAGCTGAGGTGACAACACGCTAGGACTTTCCCTCCCGAAGCGTCATATGCCACCTTCCCCAAGTAGTCGTCCAGCAAGTGAAGGGAACGTCCTGACGTTGAAATTTCTCGTCACTTAACTTGACTTCACTGACAAAATGTACAGTTATGAGTCAAATTTGTACTTCAATATATCTCGGTTCAAGCCCCTTGTCGCTTGATCATTTTGAGGGTGCTGAGCCGATCTGAATTAAATGAATTCATTTACGAATGAAGTTTGCCTTATCGTATATTATAATATCATATTTATCTATATATATTAATATATATATATATATATATATATATATATATATATATTCACCAATAATAATAACAACAACAATAATAATAAAGTCAATTCATACTCATGTGATGTATGACGATGAGAAACGCTACATTTACTGTCACATGTTGAACTCCAAATGATCCTTAAAACTAAATAAGATTATTAATATTCTCTTGATATATAATAGGTATTTGAATTGTACAGAAGTAATATTTATAATGTAATATACTTCCAGTCTTCATTGTTACTTAATCTTGAAGCCTTGTGTATTATTATATCGGAACGGACAGACACGGGAAATTAGATAATTGGATTGAGAATAAAAGATGTCATTATGGTACTCTGAGCAATCTTGAAGTTGAATACATATACGAATCCTTTTAGACACGCATCCCCTTAGAAGCGATTATACGGTCTGATTGGTCGGTCAGCGCGCTAAATTACAGCTGAATGAAAAAAAAAAAATAATAAAAAAAATTATAATGAAAATGATCATTTTCTATTTTATTCAGTGAATTGCATCACATTGTATTAGAGGGAAAAGAGTATTTTGAACAGAATACCTCGTATGTTACAAAGAACAAATTTCCATGGAAAAGAATGAGGGAGAAATTATTTGTCAATTTATTTGGAAAGTTGTGAATATTGCCAATGCTGATGTATTACCATGTCCGCTATCACGAACTACTTGTTTGTAGTAGATTGTGCTGTGCTGGCAAATGGAGATCGAAGTTCAACCAGGGCATTCGCTCTTACCGCGCCTTATCATGCCGGAGACATCAATGCTTGGTTAGCAAACGAAGCCACGTCAGCCAAGCAGGCAGCTGTATTCTGTCACTTCCCATTTTGGCAGTAATTTTCTTATGACGTTAGAGAGTGGGAGGGGCAAATTGTGATGCAATTAGCTTCACTAAACTAAGGAAATTATGTAACGAATTGTGGTAGTGTTGAATGTGATACATTATTACAAACAAAATTTTCACAGGGGATCCAGAGAACATGGGAAAAGAAAATTGATATTATAGACATGAAGGGTGTAATAAACAATAGCTATATTTATCAATTTAAAATTTTAAACAAATATATTATAATTGGCAGGATTACATAAATTTCCATGCAAACAAGTGAAACTATCATATTTGTTAGAAAATGTATTCAAAAAAATAGTAGATATGTATTTTTTTGACACGTATTTAGCCTTCATCTTGAATATTCTACTTTTGCGTAGTTAGGGAAATAGTTCTCTATCCTTCTATTTGAATTCTTCGCCCAACCGACTGGTACTGACTCTTTACCTTTGTGATAAATAAGACATTTACTTTTTCTATTTGCAACATACTCTTGTTTCTTTCAACTTTCAAAGCTATCTTATTTATAACACTGTTATTTATAAAATTGTTCGGAAGGGCAATGTGAATGTGTTCTAATTTATTTGGTCATACTTATTGTGTAATTTTTTTTACTTTACCCTCCAAATTGTAATGGAATATGAGCATGCATTTTAATAAGTCGTGAACATTGTTTAATAGTTACTCTTTATCTAATTATCAAGACAATTAGAGTGAGAAGAAGAAGTGCCTCAACAAACAAATATAAATATTATTATAGCAAATAATAATTTTAGTACTATACATCAGTTTTTGTTCTTTCTGCTGTAGCTGCGACAAACTCAGTTTGAATTAGTTCACAAATAGTATGTTAAATATGTGCAAAAGGAATATAGCTTAAATATGAATTGTATTTGTCGGCCAGTTTTATGTATTGCATCGAATCCACGCAAGTGCATGTCAGCTAGGACCCAACAATAAGAAGACATTCAATAGTGACACATAGTAATCCACTCAACTTAGGTTTCATCTGCGAAAAATATCCCCTTAAGCTGAATTTTCGCTGATAACTTTGTCTTGAGGTTTTATAAAATGGGTGAAATATTCGAACCGATATCACTTGTGCGTTCCAAAACATTAGAGGTCGAATGTCACGAAAAGTGTTTTCCGCAATTATCTCAGTTCCTATGGGTTTTATATTTTTCTGTGACTAACGGTTATCTAGATATGTAAGGTTAAAATAATACAACACAATAATTGTTTGTACGTCAAATGAGACTCTTATCAAACTTACAGAAAAAATATTTTCTATAAAACTGATTATTCATTGCTTTTCGAACGACAAACCGCACGCGGATGTTGTGTGGAGATGGGATGGCGATATCGTGCATAGGACAGAGTCGTTTAGTGCGGATATCAAAATACATCTAACATACTTTGTAACGTCCAATCAGTAGAGAAATATTAGGGAAAGGTAGCCGAATATCGGATTGGAGCCTAATATCGGATATCAAGGTTTCAGCTCTATGGTGATCTGCAACCAAGCAGCATCTATGTCAACTAGTACCTCTCCCAACATCCACTACATAATGGAGTTGAGATAGTCTTCGCGCCAGAAGCGTGTCAAAATTATTTTTATGATTTTGTGATCGTAAAATGTTCTGCAGTTTCTTCTGTTCGCTTCTTAAAATCAACTTTTTACCA